CTACCTTGATGTCATCTCTAGCTGCGGAAGCACGAAGCTCCCAGCTGGTCCCCGGTGTCCCCAGGGGGCAGGGAGGAGGGTCACTGGGCCATTCTAGCTCTGGCCTCACTAGTTGAGTGTTCTTTGGAATTGTTTGTTCATTTGCTAATGTTTGTTGAGTACACTAACAGCATCTTGGACTGCATTAAGCCAGGGCTGACTCCAAATCATTGTCCTGCCTGGTGAGAGGAGGGTCTTTTTCCCCCTTTCCCTTACATATTCTACCCCCACCTCTTCCATTTGAAGACAAGGCCTCCAGGTCCTTATGGTGCCTTGGACGGACTTCCAGAAGGGGGGTTAGGTTTTAAAATGTCCTGAGTAAGAACCTTGGAGCTCTGAGATGAGGCAGAGGGAAGCAGTTCCTGGGAGGCACAGGAATGGTTGTGTCCGTTGGTATGCTGTCCTCTTTCTGACACCAAGCAGAAACCAAACTTTAGATTTTTATCCAAAAGTGGGGAAATGAGTCTTTTCATCAAAGGAATTCCCCCTTTCCATGTCACTTACATCATAGGTAATTGTTTAACTCACCAGTAACTAAGGGGTTCACTTCCTAACAACATCATAGACTACCTTTCTGTCCAAGGTAAGGTTGCAGAAATGGGAAGAACTACCCTGGGCTTCTTTTGATTACCCTTAGGAAGTAGGACAGTGTATTTGAAAATAGGCCTCTCTCCCATCCCTCCCTCTCCTTCTCTGGTACATCTCTAGGCTGCACGGCAGAACTTGGGTGAGAAGGCAGCTTGCAGCTTGGCATCAACGCAGCAGACCTGATCAGAAACCAAAGTCCTTAGCCAAATCAGTGGGACAGCCCTCACTCGGGCAGAAATGGAGTTCACACTCCCTGTCTTGCCTGGGAGCTGCTGATGAGCGAGTGTTCAGCCAGCAGCTAAGTCACCACCACCACCGCACCCCCGCCAGGACCCTGGGTTCTCTCTAGGCTGTGTGGCAGTGCCTCACCAGCTTCCTGCCAGAGGCCTCTCCTTTTCAGGTGCCCCCAGGTTGAAGTGCTGCATGGTGTTCCCTCAACAACTACGCACAGCATGCTTGTGGGGCACTGAGCGCAGGGCAGGGGAGCAAAGCAGCTGAAGTCTGGCCGTCAGGCAGCTCCATCCCTTGCACGCGTGTGGAGGTTTCCACTGCTCTGTACCAGGACACCTATTGCCACACCCATCATGGCTTCTTGTTCTTGGGGTCTCCAGCTGCCACCGTGTTGTGCCCTGGGTGCAGCACCTCCAGCCCAGCGGCCAGGGGCTTCTTAGGCTGGCTTTTTTCCCCAGTGGTCAAGGATGCATTCAGGGTTGGTTCTGTGTAAAAAACCAAAACAATAAAACAAAACCCCGAGACCATGAGTAAGGCCAGTATCACAGCACCCTGGGCTTTGGGGACATTTTCGGGGTTTTGAGGGTACTTGTAGGGTGTTTTTTCAGTTCCCATCCATCCTCTCTGGAACATTTATTTTGTGGCAGAGCCAGGCCCTTGGCAGGTTGACACGAACCATGTTGCCAGAGGTGAAACAACCCCACTTCATCCTGTGACCCTCTCTGGCAGCTCATTCTAATTTTGGTGACTTTGGCTGCTTTGTTCTGTTTTTGTTTTGCATGCTCTCCTGTCGCTACAGCTCCAAGTGACTTCGGAAGGCCCTGCCTTACTCCTCCAAGTTTGAGAGGCCTGCTCAGCACCATCCACCAAGAGCAGGAGAAAAGCAGTCCCTTACCTCAGCGACAGTGGCCTCCTGACGCCCCCAACTGGCTTATGCCTGAGGGGAGTCATCAGATGCCAGTGGCAGGAGGGGGGGGCTGCCCGTTCCCCCCTTAGAGGCTCAGTGATGGGCAAGTTATTTTTACCTTCGAGGCTCTGATGGCTGCACTATTAATAGGAACATGTGTTCCTTTTGAAGGTAGGGGGTGGTTCTGGGTGAAAGGGGTTGGCAAGCTGAGCCAGGAGGAGAGCTGTTGCCCTCCCGTCTGAGACTAGCCCTGTGTGTCCTCACCCACCAGACCTGGATGGTTGCTGAGAATCTTGTCTGTTCCTGTCGCAAGGCAGAACTTACCAACTTTTAAGAAACCAACATAGATACCTGTGCTGTGGACCCCTCACAGATACTTTTCTTGACTCAAATCCCTGAGACCCTAAGGCCCCCTGATGCCTGGAAGGGTATGTGCTTCTGGGTTTCCTTGGGGGACCTCCTTCCTCAGTACCCGTGGACCCTTTTTTCCAAGCAGTAAATTAAGAGGTTGGGTCAGAGTGCGCACCCCTGTGAGATTAATTAGATGGGGCTTCCGGCCCCGGTGCGTCTGGGAAAGGCCTTGGTTTGGGTTTCCTTCATGTGCTTCAGCCTGCCCGGTTGACTTGGCCTGGTGTGAGAGGAAGTTGGGGCGTGTGGACATACTAATTACCCGGCCTGTGTCCTGGGTGAGCACACTTCAGTTCTCTAAGGCCTTGGTTCTTCGTTAAGGGAGAGGGCCGAAGGCTGTGAGGCAGGACAGCCGACTCCACCTTCTTTTTCTTCCCTCCACCTTCTGAGCTTATGGCCCTTTTCCTCAGGAGAGGGCTTTGGGGATTACTGGAGGGTTAAGTCATCGTCAGATGGCTTGAAAACCTAAATGGAATCCCTGTCTAGCCCATGGTTGCCCCAGTGAGGGAGCCTTTACCTGCATTTCACTGCTTGCCATCCTTCTGGCAATGAGTGTTAATTCCATCTCCCAAAAGGCTGGAAAAGACCACTCCTCCCCAGTGGGAGTCCCCGCACTCTTTTATGGAGGTCCCTGGGATTAGCAGCCTGTGAGGAAGAAAAGCCCTGGATTGCAGGCTCCCTGCAGCCTCCTGCTCAGCCACCCCTGTGGAGATTTTGTCCTGAGCAGGTCCTTTGTGTGCGTATAGTAAGTGCCTTACTTTGCCCTGCGGTCTTCACTTGTACTGTGTGGCTAGGCCTCTAGAGCTGTTTGTCATATGCAGCTGAGGGCACCACATCTCAGTACAGTTACACATGAAAGGGACGTGGATTGTGACAGTTTGCTTCATTTCTGACACCCTCCACTCCCCTTGCATTATGGTCCAGTGTGTTCTCCTGTTTTGTTTCTGGTTTCTCCTTTGTGTCGGTTCTCTTGTGGATGGCTGAACCTGTGGGGTGGCCCAACCACAGACACCTGTGCCTCATACCTATTAGGGAAGCTCAGAGCCTCACCAACCCCTGCCTCTGGCCCCACACAGCAGGCCCTGCTCTTCCAGTCCCCATCCCAGGTTAAGAACATAACCATAACCCTCTTACGATCTGTTTGGCTTCCCATTCAACCCAAAGTTTATATGATAAAGGTGTTTACTTTTACTTCCCAGTCTCAAGTGTTAACTCATAGATAGCTCATTTGACAGTGGGTCTAGTCTGGCTGGCTGTCACAGAACTGTTTGAGCTCCTAATTCAGTGTTACCTTGTGTTAGTAGCAGCGACCCTCACCCCTGCCCCTTGCCTGCCTGCCTTTTTCTCGCTCTTCCGGGTTGTGCAATAACTCTCCCAGCCAGTGGTCTTTTCCACAGGCCTTTCTGTCCCTTAAAATGCCCTGCAGTTGGGGGAGAGATGGGACCACGGGAGGGTAGACGTCATCCCTTACAGAAGACATGTCAGCCACTTTCCTTTTATTGTCATTGTCGTGATCCTGCGTGGGTTTCTGTGGCACTCTAGTAGAACATGTAGCATCATCATAGAAGTCCATATATTTTTCTTTTCTGAAATCTGTTGAAGAGGAAAAATCCATCCTCATGATGGGGCATAAGTCCGTGTCCAGAAATAAGATCTGTTGTGATGCTCCTGACATCACTGTCGCTCTGTATGAAAGCATTCCAGAGCTTCTTGTTCACGTGGAGAGGAAGGAGATTTTTCTGAGAATCAGCCACAGGTGGATAACCCCGTCCACCTGACAGGATCTGGCTGTGAGTGTTAAGTACCACCGTTTCCTTGAGTGTTTATGTGATGAAACTCTAAACCTCATTTTTCAGTTCCTCTGTTAAATAAACATCTGAAGGATGAGCTGAGGCTGCTGATGCCCTGAGCAACTCATAATGCAAATGCGGACAAATCGTCTCTTTGTTTTTCTACTTTAGCCTGTTCATGTTATGGACCAAATTACAACAAGGAACTCAAGGAAAATTTGTACCTGCCATATTTATGCTTTCATGTAAAAGGGTTGGGGGGGAGGGATGTCTTTTTACTTTTGGTGAACTTTTTTTCAAAATCATTTTTCACTGTTTCTGTCTGGTTTTAAAACAAATTACAGTTTTGTATGGATTTTTTAAATGTGCATTTTGAAACAAATGATCAAATATTTTCTGAAATACCTGAATTAAAGGCATAGAATTATCAGAATAATTGTCTCTGATGTAATTCCTCGACGTGCGTTTACGTAGTAATGCTTTTTAATTTGGATGCTTACGTTTAGTAAGTTTGCATCCATGTCATCCCATGTCTAATATTTTTCACTGTCATTTCTTAAATATCTTCAGATATATTTGTCTATTGTGGTGAGGTGAATTAGGGGAATCTGTAATAGTAAAGTGGAAAAAGATTTTCTTCACATGAAGTTTGTGGGCAGGAAGCTCCAGAAGGCAGCGTGTCATCCTTGATGCCGACAGTGCTGTGATGTCGTTTGGCTTGGAGGAGATGGGATTGGTCTGTGTGTAAAAGCCACCAAATACATGCTGGTGTTGATTACAGCACATCTAAGCGTTAGTAGTAACGGTGGGCAGTGGGATTGCGGGTCTCACTTAGATGGCCTGCTGTTGCCCATAGCTGTCTGCTGCATTTTCCGGAACCATCTTTGGAGAGGGCTCAGGATGTAAGCGCAGCTACAGGTGGCAGTTAGGTGAGAACACCCACAGGGTGAGAGAATTAAAGAGGAAAGTTCACTTGAGGTGAAGGTGAGTATGAACAAGGGCAGGTTTGGGGGCACACGTGGGTCTCAGTCCTGCTCTGCCGTGGGAAGCTGGGTCACCTGGAGCAGTTAACCTTTCTGAGCCTGTTGGCTCATCTGTGTCCCAGGGGCTTTGTTTTTATTTTGCAGGGAATGGTGGTGGTAAAACTTCGAGATACTGAATGCCAAGTTGATGGTACATATAAAGCACTCAATGAACTGATACATATTTTTTTTTTAGTGAAAATATCCTGTGCCAGCAAGATATACAGGAATCACTTACCCAGGTGACCCAATTCTCTGGGAACATTGAGAGAAGTCTTCTCTATTTATTGGTCCCAATCACGCTCAGTGCCTGTAGATGATGAGTTTGATGTGCTGTAATGGTATTGTCAAGGCCCCCTGGTGGTGCAGACAGGGTACAGGCCCAGGGCTCCGAGCAGTGGCTCACGCATAGCCAGTCCTCACCCATAAGGTAGATTTTAATAGTCCTGAGGCTGTAAGCCACCTTAAACAGTCTAGACAAACCCTTCAGTTAGATCTGGTGGCTGTGTCTACCAGTATGCCTCCATTGCAGTCGCTAATAGGTAATGCTAATTCATATTCTCTCCATCTCTCTCTCTCTCTCTCTTCTCCCCGGTGTGGGTTTGAAGGGATGGTCGTTTCTGCCTCCTACAGTATATTACTTGAGGCAGGTGAATGCTCATCTCTCTTCCACCACCTGAATCCCAGACTCCAGATGCATGCCAGTTGTGACTGCAGCATAAGATAACTAGTGACGTCTAAGGGCTGCCGTTTAGGATTTTCGTGGAGAAAGTGATTTGCCCTTTTGTGGTTCCTACGCTTGCTGCCTTACGCAAACAGGTGAGCAGTGAGTGCACCGATACCACGTAAACTACCTGCTGCCTTTGGTCTTTCATGAAGTAGCTTTTGTACTTTGTGATGGTGCTGTTGGATCTCATCTTTTCAAACTCAGGTAAACTTGAAAGGGGGGTGGCATGGTGAGGAGCAGACAGCAAGCTTAACGATATATGTGAATAGTGCCAACTTTACTTAAGAGAGCTTTCTCTGAGACCCTTCTAACAATTACAGTGGGGTGGACATTCAATAGAAAGATATTTTGTCTTCTGTAAAAGACATAGGAAAATAAGAGATGAGCGGTCATAGCTGAGGTTAAAAGGTGAGCACTTGGATTTTAAAGGATGGGTAACAGGATATTAAACAAGACTCCTAAGTCTCCATTGGAGGTACTCACCAATTTCTGTCCTTAACTTTGGGCCAAGATGGTTGGTGTTTAATAAAAGTTTATTTCAGCCTAAAAGTATGTACCCTACTATGTGTACCACACTGATATTTTCTATTCCTTTTTTTAATGCAATTCTACTGATAAGTCTAGAACCACAGTTTGAAACACATAGGAAATATTACCCTACAGTATTGGGCCAGGCAGATGACTATGGTGAGGCTATTGGTTAGCAGCAATAGCAATACTGTGCAGTCATTCCAACACCCCAAATGAGGCTTCCAGCAAATGCTATCATTCCTCCTTCCTGTTGTTAATCATTCTGTATTAGTCAGGGTTGTCCAGAAAAACAGAACCCACACAATGGTGTATATGGGAGGGGAGTAATTAGTCTAAGGAATTGGCTCACAATTACAGAGGTTGGCAAGTCCCAGGGTCTGCAGGGGAGCTGAGGACGTGATTCCAGTCTGAATCTAAGGGCCTCGAGAACCAAGGGAACTGATGTTGCTCCAATCTGAAGGCCAGCAGGCTCAAAGCCCAGTAAGAATTGATGTTTCACTTTGAGTCTGAAGGTAGGAAAAGATCCACATTGCAACTTGAAGGCAGTCATGCAGGAGGAATTCTCCTTGGTGGGAAGGTCAGGCTATTATTCTGTTCAGGCCTTCAGATGAGGGGGTGAGGCACACCCACCTTAGCAGGATGATCTGCTTTACTTAGTCTACCAACTCAAATGTTAATCTCATTCAAAAACACCCTCACAGAAACACCCAGAACAATGTTTTAATGAAATACCTGGACCCTCTCTGGTCTGATCATGTTAACACATGAAGTTAATTATCACTATACCCCAAATAAGGCACCAATCTTCAATGCTGTAAGATCCAATTTAATTTAGACTTTAATAGTATTGAAATACAAGAACTAAAAAAGAAATATAACTTTAGGAACTCTGGAAATGCCTCTATGTTGAGTGTGGGTATATTCCAAAGTGTAGGCCCACACATCCAAAAATTGTGTTGCATTCTCTCATCAGCCAGGTCAGTTTGAGAAAGCACGCACAAAGTTGTAGTAGTCAATCTTTTCTTCTCCGTGAGAGCACAGCCTGATTAACTGCAGAGGAAAGTGAAGCGAACAGGTGAGACAGAGCTGCAAGGCTTCCTTCAGTTGAACTGCAGAGCTCACTTGCACATAATGTATCCCCTTCTTACACTTGATGAAACCAAAGCTGGATAAGTAAATGGCCTTCCCAAGATTTCAAGACTAACATCCATATTTATAAGAGCATTGTCATTTTCAAGCACTTTTCAATGTTTTTATAATCAAACACAAGACTTTGGGTTTTCTTTCTTTGAGACAATCTGATTCTGTTGCCCTGGGTAGAGTGCCATGCTGTCACAGCTCACAGCAACCTCAAACTCCTGGGCTCAAGAGATCCTCCTGAGGAGCTGGGACCACAGGTGCCCACCACGAGCACCTGGCTAATTTTTCTATTTTTAGTAGAGATGGGGTCTTGGCTTACTCGGGCTGGTCTCAAACTCCCGAGCTCAAGCAATCTACCTGCTTGGCCTCAGAATGCTAACTAGGATGACAGGTATGAGCCACCACACCCAGCCCAACTACAAGACTATCTGCTCAGCTCATGAGGAAAAAGACTTTTAAAAATAGTAGGCTTCTGTTACCACAGGCTAAAGGAAGAATCTAGTTATGCCACTACTCAAACCGCATCCCCTGAAACTCTATTGTGACTGGTAACAGACTGATCTTCTGTGGTTATTTTTATATGATGAGTGCAAATCTGCCCCACCCACCCCTTCCCTGTTCCACTTGCCAGTGACTGCCATTCCTGTCTCCTACATCAGTTCCCACGTCGGACAGTATGAATGACTTGAAAATAAAAGTTGGGCATGCTATCAGTCTAAGGTTTGAGGGGCTAAATGGGTACTTAGCCCACATGAGCAAATACTCTTCCTTCTGTCTGCCCTCCCTGAGTCCCTGCTAAAGTTTCTATGAAAAATCCTCATCTCTAATCTAATTGTTTTAGCCCAAACAAAACCTTTTCCTAAATGACTCTTAAATTCTGAACATCACTTTTGGCTGTAAGATCTTTAAAAAGTCTAAAGAACCTCAATGTCCTTAGTCAGTGAGAATGCCTCAATGATTATAATCCAGAGTCCTTGGCAATTGTGTGGAAGATGCTGTACTGACTTCCAAAGGAACCCTGGGGAAAGGGGTTTATATTGAAGAAAAGGTGCAAAACTAGGCTCAAAGGAGTAGGGCGCCAGCCCCATATGCTGGAGGTGGCGGGTTCAAACCCAGCCCCAGACAAAAAGAAAATGTCCATGCTCTTTCTTCATTTGCAGCTGGCCATGTTACCCCTGCTGATGGATGGGCATGGTCAGCCCTCTTCCATGCTAGCCCTGCTGATGGGCCAATGTAGGTATTGGCCACGAAGGGTATCAAAGGCTGCCAACCATCATCATTAACTTGTCTTTGAGTCTCTCCTTGGAAGCTCCCCCTCATCACTTCTGTGGCCTTACTTCAGCCCTGACATGGTCTATCAACCACTCTGTGCTGTCTTCCCACAGGCCCACTCAAAGATGCCCTCCAACAGCAATTAGAAAAGAATGCCAATGCTGGAGTCAGGGAGAAGTAATTATTAGGACAGAACAGAAGATCTGATTTGAACATCCTAAATCTGTCCCAGTTATCATGAAATACACACGCAGTTGTATAATCAATGCTCAGCCTCTGTAATTGACCTGGAAAAGTAATTTATACTGACCTCTTTAACCAAAGAGTCATCAATTGGGACGTTAAGAGATTGACAAATTTTAAAGAACCTCTCCCTGTCCACATATCCAGAAGCTTCCTTGTCGTAAATTTGAAATGTCTCACGAATGTTGTCTTTGCAGGAATGATCTTTCAGCTGCTTCTGGATTTGCTCTATTAAGGCTTCCATTTCTTGGACACCTGGATCCTCTTCAGTTTGAGTGCTGTAAAGGAAGGAAGGAAGGAAATGACTAGATGTTGTGTTTGTTTTTGACCAATCTTAGCTCAGTGACCCAAGTTCTCACCTGATGAGGTTGGGGAAGTTTCTGATGACAAACAGCTTTGATGCAAAGCTGGCCAATAACTGGACACCTGCCCATGCAGGCCGATGGCTGACTTCCACATCAGGAAGCCATGATTGGGGGCAATATTTGAACTGCTTCCTTCCATCTGTACTACAAGGAGTCAAATCTATTACACCACCATCATCTCAAATGTGGTATTTATGGGAATCACATGATTCTCTCTTACTGCTGTTTCAGGTTAATGTTGCCTCATCTAAAAATAAATGCCTTAGTGTTTAAAAATATATATATACAGTAGAACCTCCATAGTTGATCACCTCCCTACATTGACCACCTCCTTAAGTTCACAGACTGGACATGCACCACATGTACATATCAGTATAGTAAGCCTAGATCCTTATGCTGACCACATCTATATGTTGACCAGTTTGTTATAGTCCCTTGGGTGGTCAGTTTATAGAGGTTCTATTGTATATGTAAGCACATGGCCAGGACTCTCTTGTAGTTTTAACAAGTTAAGAGATTGCTCTGTGTGGTGGAGTGGGAAGTTTAGGCCTAGTATTTACTGAAATGAAGAGAGATAAGTAACAGAGCTTTAGGAAGAGAGTGGTCTACCCCTTCAAAACAAAACCATGATAACTAGAAGCTCAGTTTTCATTTCCTCTGAACATGAAGGTAGTTATAAAATTAAAGAATTTTAGAGCTGGAAATGACTTCCTCATGTTTCATCTTCATAAATCCTTTTAGAACAAAATGGGTCCAAATAAACCCAGTAAGCACACTTCTCTTTTTTAATGATGATAAAGCAGACGTGAAGACCCTAGTGACTTTTCCTAGATCTCAGGTCAGAAGCAAGACTACTCACCGTCTCATTCCAGTTCTCAAATGTTCTTTCAGTATGCCCAATCACATCTTACTGAATCCTCCTTCCATGACATCAAAACTATCAATTCACCATTGCTTTTCTGTACTGTTTTTATTTTTGTATATAATATTCAAAAAGCCCTGTTGCAAGTAGCCTTTTTCTTACTTCCCCTGTTTACCTGTTGGTATCTCCTCAGGGGAAGGTATAAAGTGGTATTATTATCTTCCAGGACAATTTGGAAATAGGAAACAAAAGCCCAGCAAATAACCATTTATCCTAAGGAAAAAATCATGAGTTGCATGCAAAGATACATCTATAAGACTGTTTTAAGATAGCCTAAGTATCCAAAAATAGAAAATTAGTTAAATAATTTACACTAAAATCAAGCAATGGAGTAACAATGCGGCCATTTGACAATAATGCAGAAAGAGCAGAAAGATATATTTTTAGTAAGAAAACCCAAGGCACAAAAAAGTATGCGTAAAAGTTGTGGGGGAATAAAAGTATATGTTTACAATTGCTTGTATTACATAAAGAAACTCTGGGATATTAAAGAAACCACAGAGGTAGTGAGGTAGGGGGAATGGGGATTGAGAAGTAGGTGGACAGAAGATGGGGTGGGAGCAAAACTTTAAATTGGTCCCTTCCTCTGTGAGTGTATGTGTGTATGATCCATGTGAATGTAATACCTGCTTAAAAAATTAAACTATCAATGCTCCGTAAAGTATTTCATGATATCAGAAATGTTCATGAAACTCTCAAGTGAAAAAAAAAGCCAGTAAAATAGTGCTATGGCTTGGATGTTTGCCCCCTCTAAATCTCATGTTGAAATGTGATCTCCAGATCCTTTTGTGGTTCATACACATGATGACTGGGTGTTCATGCACCTGTGTGAGATGTGCCTCCTTCAAATTTTGTTACATCAGCATATTCCCCTTCTGACATGAGGAAGAAGGAAGGAAGGGAGGGAGGGAGGGGAAGAAATGTGATCTCCAGTGTTGGAGGTGGGGCCTACAGGGAGGAATCTGGGTCATGGGGTTAGATCCCTCATGAATGGCCTGGTGCTCTCACTCAGTGATGAGTGAGTTCTCCCAGGAATAGTTCTTGCCAGAGTTGATCGTTTAAAAGAACCTTGCACCTCCCCCCACCCTTGCTCCTTCTCCTGCCATGTGACAGGCTTGCTCCCCCTTCACCTCGCACCTTCCTTGGCAGCTCCCTGAAGCCCTCACCAGAAGCAGATGGTGGTGCCATGCTTCTTGTACAGCCTGCAGGACTGTGAGCCAAATCAACCTTTTTTTTTTTTTTAAATAAATGACTCAGTCTCAAATATTCCTTTATGGTAATACAAAACAGATTAAGACAAATAGTATTACAGAATTATTTGATTTTATATGAATATTAAAAAACAACAAATTAGAAGTCATCATCTCTGGGGTCTAAGATTTTCAAATGTTCCCTAAATTTTTATTCACTAAACTTTTTTATTCTGGACATGTGTTATTTTTAGAGTAAAACAAAAACTACATAAAATTTGTTATAAAAGTTCCCAATATCTAAATGCTCTCTCACACTATTTATTAAAGAAGCGGAATATGTTTACCTGATGAGCATAATTCCAGTCATATACTATATGAAGGACCACCACGGGAGCTATTTTAGTGGCAGAAAGCTGCCAAACCTCAGTCTTCCCATGTTCCCAAGAATCAGAGACACAGAACATATGAAGTTAAAATGTGATTCTCCAATCACACTGAGAAAGAGAAAGTTACCCTCCCTCACTTGACGAAGCCAGATTCCTATTCTGCTTCTTACACCAGGGAAGATACTCCTGGCACAGGCTGCCTTGAGCAAGATGGAGTAAAAGTGCAGATAGATGGCAACAGGTGGTCCCATTTCAGGCAGAGCCAGTTAAAGTTACAGCCGGGGCCTAGTCAGGACCTGTTCCCCAGGGGAACAAGCAAGTCCCAGGACAAGGTCTGCTCCTGTGGGAGCACAGGGGCCAGCTGGTTGTGCTTCGCAGGGACTGCCAACTGAGAGGCAGCTGGAGGTCCCAAAATGCAGCATGAAAACTCTGTGCCAAGCTCACCAAAAGTGAACATGAGTTTTATGGGGTGACTAATCTCCCAAAGGTAAGAGGGACGTCATAGTTTTTTCTATTTGCTCTTAGAATATTTTGCTATGAGTACCCTGGCAAAGTCCTCCACTTAGCAAGAATTGAGTAGAAATCACATATTTTCTTAAAGAGCAAATAATCTGTAATGCTATTCTTCCTTACCTACAGTATTTCCTTTTGGTAGATGACAACTCTGATAGGATTTTAAGGTGACCATTTCAATTGCAGAGATTCAGCATGGACTCCCTCCTCCCCCTTCCCCCATCTGACCTTAGCTCTTAATCTGTGACCAAAGACATCCCTTGAGTCCATTTAGACAAACTCACTTCCAGGACAGGGAGTCATTTGCCTACTCATTTGGTAGTCAACAGTCTTTGCTGAATAACAACAGCCTTGATTTCTTGGTGCTTTTCTCTAACAAAGCAAAAAAGATTGTAATGGATTTGAAATCTCAGCTTTGCTGTGTGATTGTGACCAAATTATTTAACTGCTCTGTAGCTCAGTTTCTTCATCTGTAATATGTTTATAAAGGAAGCCAGCTCATAAAGGTTGTGAGAATGAATTATTACAGAGAAAGCATTTAGTACCTGACATAGCAGATATACAACAATGTTGTTATAGTTTTTAACTGGCGGTTTTAACTGCCAACTTCCTTTGGCAGTCCTGGTAAAAAGACTCATTCACTCATTCCACAGTTATTCATTGGGCAGGTAAGTCTCAATGCAAGCGTTGGCAGGGGAGGAATAAATCCTTGAGTCTGACAGGGATCCTGTCTGTAGCAGGGATCCCTGCTTTCTAGGTGGAGAGTTAAGACACAGACTTTAACATCATTAACAGAAAGGAGAAATTTACATTACCATTTAAGAGGGAAAAAGAGGAGAGGAGAGCCAGGAAGTGGTGAACTGAGGAAGTGGCATTTGTCACAGGACTGAAAGAATGTGAGAAATTGGACATGCAGGATGAAGTACAGGAACCACAGCTGATGGGAACAGCCTGAGCAAAGGCAGGAAGAAAGGTACTCTGTTGCCTGGGCCAGAGTGCCATAGCACCAGCCTAGCTCACAGACAGCAACTTCAAACTCCTGGGTTCGAGTGATCCTCAAGCCTCAGCCTCCCAAGTAGCTGGGAGTACAGGCACCTGCCACGACACCTAACTAATGACTTTTATATTTATGTGACAGTAACTTGTTAAAAGTAGTAAGATGAGTCCAGGCGAGGTGGCTGATGAATGAAATCCCAGCATTCTGGGAGATCAACGTGGGAGGATCGCTTGAAGACAGGACTTCAAGACCTCATCTCTACAAAAGATAAAAAACAAAAAGCTTAGCCAAGTGTGGTGGCACATGCGTATAGTCCTAGCTGCTTGGGAGGCTGAGGAAGGACTCATGTTTGAGTCCAGGAGGTCAAGGCTGCAGTGAGGTATTAATATGATTGCACCTCTGCCAATATGCAAGATGACTGGTTTGGTGACAGTGTGTGAAATGAATTAAGGAAGGGGAGAGAGTGGGGTGGGAAGATAAGGTAGACACTCTACGGAGCCCTGGGTAAGCTGTGATGGGAGTATCGACAGCCAGCGACTGTAACCGGCCTGATACTCATCCTCTCTTTCTTCTTCAGAGAGCCCTTATTTTGTTTGGAGCAGGAATTAAGAGTCACCATGTGAGATAGCCCAGGCAATGAGATGTAAGCAGAAGTTTCTAGGTGGGGCTTCTGGGAAAAGTCCTTTGAAAATGGGAAAGATATGGCAAGATTGATGCTTTGGTCTTTTGCTCATTGTTCTTTCCCTTCCTCCTGTCTCCAATATAACTGCAATGCTTAGAGATGGAACGTTCATGTCAAGGCCATAGAGTGAGACGCACAAGCACAAAAGCTACTTACTAGCTAAGGATGTCTGAGAAATGTCAGAGAAGAACTCAGGTCCCTGATGACACTGTAAAGCCACCACACCAGCCTGCCTCCCTCCAGACACTGCATTGCATGAGAAACATAAAACTCCACTCGGTTAAACTAATATAAATTTGTTTCTGTTGTGATTTTGTTGTTATGTGTGGGCAAATGTAACTTGTAATGAATAGCGTGTTTTAAATTAGGAAATGTAGAAAGAATGAAAAGTAAGAGGCAAGAGATACTGTAAAATAAAAGAGATTAGCAACTTATTGGATATGTGCAAAGTAAAAGTCAAGGGTGTCGCTAAATTTTCAAATCAAGGTAAATGGGAAGTTGATACCCTTAAGAGAAAGGAGGAGAATTAGCACTTGCCTCCTGCAGGCCAGATACTGTGCTGGTGCTTCCCACGTCTTATCACAATACAGTGTTCTCTACTGCAACTTTATGAGACAGACAAGCAAAAAGAAGGAACAAGGAAGAAGAGGTGTGCTGGAAAGATGAAAATGACAATAGCTACATTTTTAGTTGTACAAAGTGTGAGGTGCTGGTGGTTCAGGCAGATGAAGATGCATTGAACAGGCTGACAGGAATGCAGGAATAGATTCAGGAGAATGGTTAGGATAGAGAACAAGGCACTCTACAATGTCAAGGGACTCAGCAAGTCTATATAATCTTGCCCCTTGTTAATTCTCTAATCCTATCCCCAACTCCCCTCCCTCTCACTCGCTCCATCTCAGCCACTCTTGCTGGCCTTCTTGGCAATGTTCCTTGAGCACTCTAGGCTAAGCATTAGGGCCTTTGCACTCACCATTCCCTGTTCCTGAAAAGCTCTTTGTCTATTTGGCTAACACGTTACCTTCTAGTATTTGCTCAATGTCACCTCCTCAAGGTGCAACCACCTATCCGATTAATTACAACCCACCACCGCTCTTCAGAAACCTTCATTATGCTTATTTTGTTTCATTTTTCCATAGCAATCATTGCTACTATACTATAATTTACTTATTCGTGTTATTGTCTATTTCCTGATGCTTAGAAGGTCAACTCCAAGAGGACAGTGACTTCTTTTCTGTTTTCTTTACTGATAAAAGCCCAAGGGCCTAGTTATAATACTTGACACATAGTAGTCACTCAATAATCACAGTTATCCTTTGAGCAACATAGATTTGAACTGCATAGGTCCACTTATATGCTGATTTTCTTTTATTTTTATCAGCCCTGAGAAAAGAAGACCAGCATTTCCTCTTCCTCCTGAGCCTCTTCACTGTGAAGATAATGCAGATCTTTATGATGATTCACGTACACTTAGTGAATAGCAAATACATTTTCTCTGCCTTACGATTTTCTTAATAACTTAATTTTCTCTAGCTTATTTTATTGTAGTATATAATGTAGTATATAATGTAGTATATAATGCATAGCATAAAAAAATGTGTTAACCAACTATTTGTGTTATTGGTAAGGCTTGCCTGTCAATAATAGCCTACTAACAGTAGG